CCTTAGTTCCCACGCATTACAGTTACTACTCTTTCAGGCAGATTTTGCTCCCTCTAAGTCCCATATGCCTCCACAAAATACAATAACACAATTACACTACAACACACAACCTTCATTCCTCCTAAAAACACCATCCATTGTATTTCATAGAAAATACTATATGACACATCATAATTCATTGGTGAACAGAGGACTGTGTTGTTTTTATGTTGATATGCTTATAGGTTTAACTGGCTTTTAGCAAAGAATTTATTTAGGGACTAAGCTAAGTCTTGAAGATAAAAATACCTATGAAGAGAGACTCCATGCTACATTCTTAGCCCTATTACTAGCTAGGGCTTTAAAATATTTTAAATTTAAATTATGGTTGCTGAACTGATTGCTTGAGGTACAAACTAGCTCCCCAATTACCAGTTTTCCACTTGATGAAGTTCTGTTCTTGCTGAGGAAATGCTACACTGGGGAGATGCAGCCAATTTTTCAGTCACTTCATGCAACTGAAATAGCCCTATACAATTTAATATACCAGTAATACAAGAGGCTATTTAAGATTATATTTAAGTAGTTAATTGAAAAGGATGTTAATTGTTAACAGACAAGGATTGATTGTGCAATTATATAAAGCCCTTTATGGTGATTTGTCAGTACTTGTTGTCAACAACCCAGGAAAGAACCAAAACACTGGATTTATCTTCTCAGTGCCTTTGAAGAATGTAAGTGTGCAAGAGTATAGTGGAGTGCTTTGATCATTTTTTAAGAACTAACTATTTAAAATTTAAAAATAATTCCATGGAAAAAAATAATAGGTTAGTGCATGCTGCTGTAAATCAGCATCGGATACAATACTTATCTGAATGCTAACAGTTTTCTGACTTGTCTTCTCCCATCCCACATGCAAAAAAAAGTATCTTTCAAGTCTAGACAATGCTTTAATTATTTTGTGTTCAGCTTTAAGTACTCAGAGCCAAATGTGAAGAATTAATCCCTCAAGAATGGGTACAGAGGACAAGTAGAGTCTTTCTAGATATTGCCTTTAATATGGAGTAAAAACAAAAGGACCTTTGAAAATGAGGGCAAAATATTAATGCAAAACTGGGTGATTATAAACAGTTCAGATCTGATTTCCACTCTTGGAGCTGTCTTTGTGGGAAGTTGGTGAAACAATAACACCCACTGCATATTTCAAACAAAATATCACTTATGAATATATTGACATTTTATTAAAAGGCATGGCCACCCATTCCCAAAAAGATTGTTTGAAGGATAAAAGATACTGGTAGCTACTTATTTTCTTTAATGTAAGTTTCCTTTTAAATTACCAATGATACTTATAATTGCTGTGTCACTCAGAATAATTAGAAAAGTTAAGACTTTTGCTCTTGATCCTAACACACAAGTGTATGTGCATTACTAGTTCCATTCTTTTTTTGCAGGGTTTGGGTCCTAGGCCTGGATTCAGGAAGGCACTTAATCATAGCAATGCTGTGCATCGCGTGCCTAAACCTTTGGGGGGGGGTGCCCATAAATAGAATTCAAAAAACAATTTATACTTTTAAATACTATAAGTGGGCTACATTTGTATTGGTGGTAACTTCACTACCTTGGCAGTGTTTCACCTTGGATGATCTGTTTCACTGTGGTTTTGAATGTGATTTTTTTCAAATCTTTGTCAGACTAGTATTGCTCCTGAAGTCCATGAGTCTGCTTATGAATAAAACTTACTCGCACCAATAATGATTTGTTGATTGAGTCAGTATTCACATACAGAAACACCATGATCCAGATGTTGTAAATCGTAATTGCTCCATTGATGTCAGTGGAGTGGTGTCATTTTATCCCTCGGAGGATCTGGTCTGAGGTGGTAAGCACTTCTTCAGCTTGAAAAATGATCAGTGTTGCAGGAGTCATTATCCATTGGATGATTTTTGATCCTTAAATGTATTTAGATTTTAAGATTATGATGCTAGGAACTATATTTTATTTTTAAGACAAATATGACTGGGCATGCTATTTATGTTTACAAAATGAGAGAGAATTTTAAATTAATTTTTTGTTTTAAATCCTATAGGTGCTACTGTTCCTGCTCACAGAGCAGTCCTAGTGGCTCGCTGTGAGGTGATGGCAGCTATGTTTAATGGTAATTATATAGAAGCAAATAGTGTTCTGGTTCCTGTTTATGGGGTTTCCAAAGATACTTTCCTCTCCTTTCTGGAGTATCTGTATACAGACTCCTGTTGTCCAGGTAAGTAAATTTAAAAATATATTAGTATCCTCAAACCCTTGCAGGTTTCTAGCAGATTTTGTCGCCAGAATTAGGGAGCAGAGGGAAATAAAGCAGCATTTTAAAAATGTCTTTGATTCCATAAACTCCTTAATGAAGGATTCACTTCTTACCTAGTGATTTAACATCTGGGTGCTTTTTTCCAACTAAGGGTAAACAATATTCATGTTTAACATTTACCTGTAAACTAATTTTCAGGGGATATATTTTCAAGATAAAAAATTAAGTGAACCATGTCTACTGGCTCTTTCTCTTGTTGGTGTCATCCTCTTATGTCTTTGTGTCAAAATGGCAATGTTGTAAATTTGGAAGAGTTATGTACTTTGAGATACTATAGACTCATTAAAAAGAATCTTATTGGTAGAAGAATTTTGGATTAAGAATCTCTTAGGCTAGGGATAGAGGTTATACATAAGCCAGTTTAAGTGATCAGAAACTGGTTTAAACCGATAACAGCATAGAAGTCCAGTGCACATAAACCAGTTTCAAAATGGCTGAAACTGGTTTAAGATAAATCTGGTTAAATGTCGTATCAGACTTAACTGATTTGGATCAAACTGGTTTATGAAACTTCTGTCCTAGACCCCTTCTTGGTTCAAGTTAAATCACAGACAGTCTCAACATGCTTTCCAGCCCTGGGCTGAGCTGTGCTGTCTGCTCCAGCGGAGAAGCGGCATAGGGTGAGAGGGGGAGAGGCAGGGACTGCCCCCCCTCCCCCCCAGGCAAACCCCAGTTGGGGTCTAGGGCCAGGGGGAGGGTTAAACACCCCTTTCCCCACTACAACTTATTGTTAGCTGTGACTCTGGACTACAAATCCCAGAAGCACCTGGGAGCAGCCCCTGCCTGTGCCTGGAAGCAGGAAGAGTCCTGCTGCTGTGAGTCTGGACTGCGAATCCCAGAGACCTCAGGGGACAGCAGGAAGAGGAAGTAAATGCACAGCCTATGCTG